AATACCCAATTTCGGTTTTATTTTCTCCAGTTGTCTTGAAATGGCTTTTTATTGAATGTTTTGGGTTTTTTTTTTGTGAACAAGGTCCACATCCTGCATTTGGGTGGTGTTTCTTAAATCTCTCAACCTGTAACCCCCACTCACATGCCATATGGTTGGGGAAGAAGCATTTTCACTTGATGGCAGGATCTCTCTTACTCTAGATGTTTGCTTTTATAGACCACTCCTTTAGGTTCATGTGAAGTAACCTGAAGGTAGGGAGTAGAGGTGGGCAGGGAAACCAGGAAGAAGGCTGCTCCCAGGAGAACTGGGAGATTCCGTGAAGGAGAGAGAGGGAGTTGCTGGATGTGGAGCCCACATATGGGAAGCGAGTGAGGTAGAGAAAGCGTGGATGGACGACAGAGACTCAGAACCCAGGGATCTCAGGTATAGATAGGTACCCTCAGAGTGGGGTGGGTGGGGACCTGTAGCGCTGACCCTGCTATCCCACCGCTCTGCAGGTTCCCGCTGAAGGACAGCCCCAGGCTCCAGGCCTGGTTGCGATGCATGGGCCGGGAGCACTGGGTGCCCAGCTGCCACCAGCACTTGTGCAGTGAGCACTTCACACCTTCCTGCTTCCAGTGGCGCTGGGGCGTGCGCTACCTGCGGCCAGACGCGGTGCCCTCCATCTTCTCCCGGGTGCCGCCAGCCAAGGTGAGCGCGGGATGTCCAATGAGTGGAGTCTGATCCCCAGCCTTCCCTACCTGGGACACAATTCCTAGAGTCTGGTTCCTGGCCTTCCCTTTCTAAGCGAAGTCCTTCCCCAGGTCTGCCCCTCTGCCCTTCCCTCCTTAGGAAGTTCCTGGCTGAAGTCATCTTACCCAGGGAAGTCCCCCTTGGAGACTGACCTAACCTCTCCAGGAAATGCCTCTTGGAGTCTGGCCCTGAAGGGCCATCCCCACCCTATGCCTTGTCTTCCAGAGCCCGCGGAGGATCCGAAGTACCCAGAAGCCAGTCACGCCTCCTCCTCCTCCTCCCCCCCTGCCACAGGAGGCAGGACTCCCCCGGGAGTCCATGGTTGCAGCCTCTGGCCCAGTGCACGTAGTGGTGCTGGGGCCTGCATCTGACGGCGCCAAGGCTGCGTCCACCGTGCTCCTGACCCCCCTGCCCCTTCCCTCCGCTCCTGCAGGGCGGAGGACTGGAGTTTCTGCCCAGCACCCACGGGCGGGACTGGGAGCGGTGCTGGGAGCACTGCAGCGGCGGGTGCGGAGGCTGCAGCGGCGCCACCAACGGCACCAGGCTCAGCTCCAGGCTCTGGAACAGCTGGCGCTGCAGCTGCGCACGGAGAGCCTGCAGGCTCGGGCGCACCAGGGCCAGCTTCGCGTGGTGAGTGGCGCAGGGTCTTGGGACTGGCGTCCAGGGCGTCTTGCCTGGCCTGCACAGTGTCCTCATTTATGTTTAAAAATCCCAATGTTTCATTCAGGTTTCCAAATTGCTGGTTAGGCAGGGGAAGAATCTGGGGCTGGGGATGAGGCTCAGTGTTTACAGCACTTGCCTAGCATGTGGGAAGCCCTGGGTTCCATCCCCAGCTCAGCAAAAAAGAAAAATAAATGTCAATCTGGCAACTATTGGTTGGAGCTGAGTAATGGCTGCTCCATTTATGAATAATATTTAGGAAGTTCTCACTTCCTGCCAGACACATACTTAATAACTTATTGAAAATTCACTACCATCTTGGTACTCTTGTTGTTCCCATTTGCCAGATGAAAAAGCTGCAGCATAGAACAGTCTAGTAACTTGCCCAAAGTCAGGCAGCCAGGACTCAAAATCAGATGTCTAGCACCGGAAGAAGCCCGGCTGTCCTGTTGGAAAGCTCCCTTCTCAGCCCCTTAAATTCACAACCCTTTTACTATGGTCTCCCACACTCTCTCTAAAGCTCTTTATCCATACATTTTACTACTGGGTTGTTTTTTGTTTTGGTTGAGGGAAGAGTGAAAAATCAAAGCTTGACCATGTCAGTCCCCTGCTTAAAAACTAGGGCTTAGCTTGAGGGCCTCAACCTATCACCCACCCACTCAGAATCCTACCTGGATGGGACAAGCATCCAGGCAGAGCTGTGGAGACAAGAGGAGGGGGGCTCAGAAAGGAGCTGAAGTGTCTCAGGTAGACAGCTAATGGGTTGGACATGACCTCCAGATATAATTTGTTTGGCCTCAACAGTGCTTTAAAATCACTTTTAATCTTTCCTGAAGGCTCAGTAGATCTTGCAGCGCAGGGTTCATATTCTCAGGTAATAGCAGCCAGCTGGAATTGCAGTGTGACTGCCCCTGGGGACTTTGAGGCTATGGCCTGGAACCCAGAGGGACAGTGGGGCTGGGTCACAATTCAGTCTCAGGCTGGAGCTCTCCATGGAGCCTGCCTTGGGCTGACTCTCTCTCTCTGCCTCCCCTGTCCCCATTCAATCCCTGTTTCCTACTCATTCATCCTGTGTCCCTGTCTGCCCATGTCTCTCTGCATCTGCCTTTGCCCCCCATATCAATGTCCTTGTCGACACATCCATCTCCCCATGTCCTTGTCCTTCCACATCTCTCTCCTATTTCCCCACACTTCTTTTCTCTCCCATGAATGTCTCTGGCTTCACATCTGCTTCCCTGTCTTCCATCACATTTCACTCTGTTTCCTGACACCCCTCCTTTTCTGATGTCCGTTGGTCCTCACCATTTCTGTCTGTCCCTCAATCTCCTCACCCCTTGCTCCCCTTTGTTCCCCATCTCTACTGCTTCTTTGCCTGGAATGGCTCAGCTGCCTGGATCTGAGGAATCCCAAACCTTCACCATCATCTGTGGAGGGCCTGACATAGCTGTGGTCCTTGCCCAAGACCCTGCACCTGCCACACTGGATGCCAAGCCTGAGCTGGACACCCAGTCACCCAGTGCCTAAGGGTCAGGACGGACAATGTCAAGGGACAGAAGATGCAAGATGGAAGAAGAGAGCCCATCACACATGTGCTTGGCCCAGCCCTATCACCCATACCTGGGGAGGAGCAGTGCTTTCCCCAAGTACCTAGATTCTTCTCCCCACTTCTAGGGATCCCTTGAATCTTGCGGGTGACTGGGCCCCAAACCCTTATCCCCCTGGGTTCCCAGCTCCTGCCACCCCCAGCTCAAATCTCTGCAGTCAGTAAAACAACATCAGCAGAAAAGGGGTCATTTGGGGAGTTCTGTACCTGGTTCCAAAGAGCCCTTGGCACCTTGTGTCAAGCCTGCTGGTGAGTTGGGGACATGGCAGTGAACACAGCTAAAAACCATCCCTGCCCTCATGGTGCTCACATTTTGCTTGAGTTGAAGGTGAACTAGTGTACCAATAAACTGGATCACTTCTGACTGATATGTGCCATTAAAAACTGAATTAAAATATGATTGAGGGGCTGGGGCTATAGCTCAGTGGCAGAGTGCTTGCCTAGCAAGTGTGAGGCACTGGGTTTGATCCTCAGCACCACATAAAAATAAATAAAGGCATTCTATCCATCTACAACTACAAAAAAATTTTAAAAAATATGATTGAGAGGAAGTTGGGGGGAGAGGGCTCTCTAAGAAGTTGTCATTTGAACACAAACCTGGGTGGGAGGAGTCAACCTGTAGGGCATGTGGGCAGGTGTTCCAGGGCAAGAACAGATCTGCAGAGGACCTAATTTCTAGGGCATTGGAGGGAGGAGGGCATTGTTGCTCTGAAGAAAACTAAAGTGGGGAAGGGGCTGGCTGGGATAGGGTGCAATTTTAGATAGAGCAGAGGTGTCACTGAAAAGGCAAACAATTAATATCCCAAATGAGAGGAGAGAAGGAACCATGCAAGGGCCTGGGGGAAGCCTTCCAGCTAGAACAGCCAATGCAAAGGTCATGGGGTGCAGAAAAGCAAGGAGGCCAGTATGATCTGAGTGGAGTGGGCAGAGTGAGAGGAGGAGAGATTGGAAACATGGTGGGCAAGTGTACCTAGGGCCTTATGGGCTGTGGCTGGGAGTACTGGCTTTTACCTGGAGTGAGGTGCAGCCAGATGCTTCTGAGTCAAGGAGTACCCTGATGTGATACATGTTAGGTTCCTGTGACTGCAGGGTAGGAAGAAAGGTCAGGTGGGGTGGGGAGAGCAGTGAGAACAGAGAAGACACTGCTGCCATTGTTGAGGTGGGAGAAGATGAAGGATGGACCAGGATAGGGGCCTGGAGTTGGGTGATAAAATTCTGGAAGTATTTTGGTGATGGAGATACTGGGCCTACCCAGTATGAGGGGCACAAGGCACGTTCAGGCTGGGGTGATTTGGGGCAGAGCAGGTAACAAACCAGGAATGAGGTTGAGCCAGGACCCTGGCTGGCTCCAAGAGGCTTTACTCCAAGAGATACATGTTCTCAGAAGAGATCCATAGACAGATCTGTCTTCTAGACACTGCTATCATCACATGGCCTTCACTGCACAGTCATGTAGCTTGGTGATTAAGAACCAGACTCGACGAACTGCCTGCTTTCAAATTTTAGCTCCACCACCCACTTGCTGTACTGATGGGTAAGCAACTCGAACTCTCGGCCTGAGGAAGTGCTGATGAGCACTGTCTATAAGGACAAAGGTGATGGAGATGTAAAAGCACCCCTCTGAGACGTTCATAGAGGGTAAGCATGGCGTTGAGCTCCGAGAGAGGGAACAACATCAGCAAGGCACAGAGACCACTGTCCCAACTGGCCGGGTTCGCAGACCTGGAGAGGGCTCTGTCACCGCGAGGATGGATAAAAAGGCGACACGGGTGTCGCCTTGCCGCCCCTCTCCCCCCGCCGGTCTCTGCTTCATCTCTCTCCTGCCTCGGTGCCTCACACCCTTCCAGGTGGCAGTCCCTTCTTCCTCTTCGGGTGCTCGGGGTCTAGCCCCTTGGCGTCGCTGCCTCCAGAGCCTTCATCTGAGCGAGCTGCCTCTCAGCATCTCCTCCCCCGCGCCTTGCCACTGCGCATGCGCCGCCAGCGCCCCTCCCTCTCCACCCCCACCCCCGATCGGCTGCTGGGCCTCGTCCCCTTCTCTCTGTCTCCCTCTCTTCCCCTACCACGTCCCCCGACACCGACACCCCAGTACTCCGCGGTCTCCTCAGTCTCAGCCTCGGTCTTCAACCCAGTCCGCCCGAGGTAAGATGGGAAGCGCGGAGGCCCGTGAGAAGGGGAGGGGCGAAGCATCCTGCATCCCGAGATAAACAAACCCCGAGAGGGGGCGGCCGAGACTGAGGGGCCTGACGCGGGAGAAGAATGGGGGGCTGGGCCTGGTGGAGGAGGCAGGAGCTGGGCGCATATCCCGGGGCTCTCTGATGGGTAACGAGGCCCTATGGTTCTCCAAGATCCAGAGCTGGGGGCACGGGGACCACCCGGGGCCTTGGGAGTTTCTGGGGGCTTGGACCCAGAGCCTCTGGGGCACCCTCTCCAGCTGACCTCTGCCTCCAGGATTTGCCTGCAGGCCGCCCCTGACTCTTGCGCCCGCCCACCACTGAGGGCCATCTAGGACCATGACTAAGACAGATCCTGCCCCCATGGCCCCTCCACCCCGAGGAGAGGAGGAAGAAGAGGAGGAAGAAGATGAGCCCGTCCCTGAAGCCCCCAGCCCCACCCAGGAGCGCCGGCAGAAGCCTGTTGTGCATCCATCGGCACCTGCACCCCTCCCCAAGGACTACGGTAACTGCTATCCCCACCCTGGAATCTGGCATGGAGACTTGGGTGGTCTGGGAGAATGGCTGAACTCTGCTGGTGGTGATGGTGGGGGGGATTCTGAGGCGGTCCAGAGTCTTGGACCTCTCTCCCTTCGTTTATTCACCATTGGAGTATGGAGTTGGAATGATCCTAATATTTGGTTCATGACAAATAATTCTATCATGTAGTCATTCAACAAACAAATCTTGGAAGAGCCACTACTGATCTGGCTCTGTGCTAGTAGTTGGGGCCACAGCACAGAATAAGACAAGCAGTCTTTGCTCTGAGAGAAATCAATGACAACCACACAAATAAGTATTAAAAATATAAATATATGATTACAAAGCATGATAATTGTGTTTGCCAAGAACAGAATGCTGCAGGATATTTTAAAAATGTTGTCCCTTGGATTAACTAAAAGGTCAGGAAAAGAGGGTCCATGGAGAGATAACTTCAAAAGTAAAGGATCTGAGATAGGAGAGTGTGAGGTAGGATCTGGGGGTGTCCTGTTGGAGAAACTGAAGGTATCTGTCATTTATTTATTGCTTGCTATTATCCTGTAATGAGCTCTATACTGGGTAATGGGATGTTGATGAAGAACAATCAAGGCATGGCCCCTGTTCTTAGGAGAGACTAAACAAGTGAACAGATAAATCAGATGAGTTCAGATCAGAGTGAATGCTATAAAAGAAATAAAAGGTAAAGTTATAATAGATAAGGGCCAGGGGACCTCTTGCTTGAAACCAAGTAGTCAGGGTGGGTCTTTCTGATTAGGTGACATTTAGGCTGACACCCAAAGCATAGGAGAGCTGGAGAGAGTTCCAGGCAGAGACTAGCAAGTGCAAAGGCCCTGAGGCAGAACTGAGCTTGGAACAGAAAGATCATAGAGCTGCATTTGGAGAGTGATCAGAATTGAGGTGAGAGGGCATGGGCAAGATCTGGAAGGGCCTTGAAGGACTTTGGATATATTCTAAGTATGACAGGCACACACACAAACAGCTGTGTGCGTGTGTGTATCTTTGCACACACATGTGTGTGCTCAGTGTGTCTAAAAGCAAAGAAGTGGCAGGTTTGATTTATAATTTTAAAAGCTCCCTCTGGCTTCTGGGTAGAGAGGTGGAGTGCAGCCAGTGTTGGATATAGGAGAGAGGTTTTAGAAGATGCTGACTGGGAATCCTTAGCAGCTGTGAGGCTCAGCAACTAGGCACTTGGTTCAGAGAGTTGGCATCATCAGGATAGAGCAGGAGAGATGGCATCTATGGATGTATCACCCACTATTGGTGGATTGGAGAGACAAGTTCATTTTAGTCTGGCAGAAAAATAGGAAAGTTTTCTGAGGGCGTGAGTTGTGGGGAAAAACTGGAAAATCTCCTTTGGAAACTCAACTGTATGTGGCTTGAGCCTGTGGTCCAGTGGGCAGTCAGAATGTCTAAGATGGGCCCTCCAAGGAATCCTGTTTGTAGAGCAAGGGAGGGTTTGGTCACAAAATGTGAAGGAATCTGGAAATATGGTCCAAGCCAGAGAGAAAGCTAAGGTGAACTCCTTAGAAAACTATATATCTGTTTGTTCAATTTGTACATTAATCCAGCAGAGATCTGCTGAGTAGCCACTGCATGCTGGCTGCTACGCCCAACTGTGGGGATAAGGGAGTGGCAAGCAAAACAGAAATTGTGCTTCTATCCAAGTGAGGGCAACAAGTAAGAAAGGAAGAGAAAGGAAAAAAGAGAGAAGAGAGGAGGAGAAAGAGGGAGAAGAGAGGAAGGAGTAAACATATTATGTTCAGTAGCAATATGTGCTATGATAAGAAGATTAAAATAGGAGCTGGAGAAGTGCAGAGGTGCTGATTTAGATGGGGCACTCTGGGGCGGGGTGGGGGGACTCAGGAGATCTGAAGGAAGACTGTCCAGGTGGGAAAATAGCAAGTGCAAGGAGACAGGAATTTTCCTGGCACATCGGAGGGACAGAAGGCAGCCAATGTGGCTGGAGGGGAATGAGGGAGAGGGAGAGGGCAGAGAAAGAGGTGGCCAGATTGCTCAGGGCCTTGTGCCAGCGGGAGGACTTTGGTCTGTACTCTGAGTAGGATGGGAGCCAGGGGAGGAGGGTTCTGAGCCAGGGAGGGCTGCAGTGTGAATGGGGTTTGAAAAGGAGCACACAGGCTGATTCCTGAGTCACCTTCTACGCAGCCTGTCCCGGGGCTGTGTATGATCCGATCCTTCACTTACTCATTCATTCAGCTCACATATCTGCCACTGCAAGGCCCCTGCTGGGTGCTGAGGTTACCCCCAGAGAACAACGCTCATCAGAATCTAATGCAGGGAACTAGATGTCCCTCTGACCACCATGCTGGCTGGCCACAGATTGGATCCTGCTCATTCTTAGAGACATTTTATATGTTCTACACAATATTTGAAAAATTTGAGAATTTTCTTTAAAAACTAGACTTTGGGCTTTCTGCAATAAATTTTTTAAAATTCTGGCAGGGCTGGAGTCTTGGCTCAGTGGTAGAACACTCACCTAGCATGTATGAGGCACTGGATTCGATTCTCAGCATCACATATAAATAAACAAATAAAGGTCCACTGACAACTAAAAATATTAAAAATAAAATAAAATTCTGGCAAGTTGTCCACACTGTGACCATAGTCTGACAGCATAACAGGGTCCTCAAGTGGTAGCAGCATCCTTGGGCTTGCAGACCAGAAGGTACTCCACTAGAGTTTGCTACCCTATGAAAACTGCCTGATTTTTCAATTTTTCAAGACACTGTGCATCCAGATTTTTGTATGAAACCTTCAGATTTTGGAACCTCATGCTGGCCACACAGAAAATGCCTGTGGGTTGACCGTGGCTAGTTAGAGGCTTTTAAAGGCAAAGACTGAGCTCCCCTGACTGGGGTGGGGGGAACAGGGGAGAGAGGGTCCAGCTTGCCTAGAGTGACCTTGGACCTCTCTCCACCCTAGCCTTCACCTTCTTCGATCCCAATGACCCTGCATGCCAGGAGATTCTGTTTGACCCTCAGACCACCATCCCAGAGTTGTTCGCCATCGTGCGTCAGTGGGTGCCCCAAGTCCAGCACAAGATAGATGTCATCGGCAATGAGGTAGGAACAGAGGGGAAGTTAGGAGGGAGGGGATGTGCCCCTCACATGTTTGGGTAACCCTCCCGTTCCCTGGTACTCCCAGATTCTGCGTCGAGGCTGCCACGTGAATGATCGTGATGGGCTTACCGACATGACGCTGCTCCATTACGCATGCAAGGCTGGGGCCCATGGAGTCGGTGAGGGCCCAAACCCCCAAGCCCTGAGCCCAAAAGCCTAAGCTTCTAGCCCCGATACCCGCAAAACCTCCCAGAATTCAGGCCCTAATATCACGAAGTGTAGACCATGAGGCCCCAGGCTCTCCCCACGCGCTAGGTGCATGCTCTACTGGAGGACTTCCAAGCTGACCCTTGCTGTCGTGCAGGGGACCCTGCGGCGGCCGTGCGTCTCTCCCAGCAGCTGCTGGCGCTGGGCGCCGATGTTACCCTGCGCAGTCGCTGGACCAATATGAACGCTCTTCACTACGCTGCCTATTTTGACGTGCCCGACCTGGTACGGGTGCTGCTGAAGGGCGCGCGGCCACGCGGTAAGGAGGGGGGGCCTGGCTGAGAGGAGAAGGGGGAAGGGCGCCTCGAGGACCTGGTTTAGAGAGGTAGAGACCTGGGGTGAGAGGGACCTGGAGTGACGGGGCAGAACTGAGGCCTGGCTGGGAAGGGGAGAGGACTAGGATCCAGGAGGTAGCCCGAAGCAGGAGGTGGAAGCCGGCAGGGCGCTGTCAGTGGGCCCCACCCTCAGGGATGGGAGGGGCGGGGCATAGAAGAGAGGGGCGGGGCTCTCGCAGAGGCAGAGGCTGGGAGGCCTGGGGAGGGATAAGAGAGAAACCCAGAGGTAAGAGGAGGGCTGGGTTCCCACCACGTTCACCCAGAACCCTCCTCTCGCCCACTTCCCAGTAGTGAACTCCACGTGCAGTGACTTCAACCACGGCTCAGCCCTGCACATCGCTGCCTCCAACCTGTGCCTGGGCGCGGCCAAATGTTTGCTGGAGCATGGCGCCAACCCAGCGCTGAGGGTACTGCCACTCTGGCCCAGCCCTGTTATCCTCTTCCCCGCTCCCTCCATCCACTGCCCTCCAATAGGCCACTGCAGAGGACGAGGACCACTTGTATTTCTCCTAAAATGTTATAAAAACGATCTGCACATTCAACAAATGAAATGATAGCTGATTTTAGAGTTCATTATACATCAGGTGAAGTGTCACAAGCCCTGTTTTACAACCAGGAGACTGAGGCAGAGAGATTCAAGGATTTTCCCAGGGGCACTCAGCAAGGATATCTTTTCTTTCAATCCTGGCTGACCCTGTGGCTTTGTACAGACAGCAGTTGAAATCATGAGGAAAGTGGAGTTAGGCCTTCAGGGAATGAGAGGCTTGGGCCCCTTATAAGCCCTCAATATGATCTTTGATCCCTTTCTGTTATGAGGTCCCAATATCCCTGGCATCCTGGGGGTTCATCACAGGGCCTGTGCCCCTGTTCTCTCCTCATTCCCTATTGGCTCAGTTTGATATCTGAGCCTATAGCATAGGAGCCTGTTCTCAGTATTCATACCCACCCACCTCCCAAGGCCCCATTACAGGCTTAAGATCCCCAAAGCATAAGCTCCCCAAGGGCATGACCTGCAGTACCAACCTTATTCCCTGTAGGCTCCATCCCCAATGCTACATTGCATTACTTGACACATCCCCAGCTCAGGACCACAGGGGTGGACTCACCGGGGATCTGCATCCAAATGCCCCACCCCTTCTTATTCCCATGCTGGCCCAGGGCATGATTTAGTCCTGTCCCAGCTTCACTCAGGCTGGTAGCCTTCATGGGAGTGTAGCCTGTACCCCTGAGCTCCTGTCTCCTCTCTTCCTATTGGCCCACAGAATCGGAAGGGGCAGGTGCCAGCTGAGGTGGTCCCAGACCCTATGGACATGTCCCTGGACAAGGCAGAGGCTGCGCTGGTGGCCAAAGAGCTGCGAACGCTGCTGGAAGAGGCTGTACCACTATCGTGTGCCCTTCCCAAGGTGACATTACCCAACTATGACAACGTCCCAGGCAATCTCATGCTCAGCGCATTGGGCCTGCGTCTAGGAGACCGTGTTCTGCTGGATGGTCAGAAGGTCAGAGATGAGTGTTGGAGGGGGTGGTTCCCTCATCCCTCAGAGCTGGGTGTTTGGTTGCAAACAGACTGTCCTCTTTGTCTGTCCGCCTTTCAGTCATTCACACAGTTCTTTATTCCATCTAACAATTGTTCTGTCAATGCTTCCTCTGTGCCTTCCTCTGTGTTGAGCTGTTGGCTTAGAGGGAGAAATAGACCCATCCCCAAATGAGGACAGCACAGAGCAGTCATGATTGAAATGAGCAGAGTGATCAGCATAGCTCTATGTATCTGTGGCTCCTAGAGTTTTAAGGTCCCTTCTCAGCTCCCATCTCCACTCTTAAGAGTGGACAGGACTTTGACTAGGACAGTATAAGCCAGAGTGCTCAGGGAAGTGTTGGGGTATGCACCCAACTTGAAGATGAAGAGAAGGGGAGGAGAAAGGGTTTCATTTAGAGGGAGTCGAGAATCTTGATTCATCTGGGCATTCCAATTTTCATTCTTTTTTTTTTTTTACTATTTATTTTTTAGTTTTAGGTGGACACAATATCTTTATTTTATATTTATGTGGTGCTGAGGATCAAACCCAGTGCCTCGTGCATGCTAGGCGAGCGTTCTACCACTGAACCACAACACCAGCCCCCCAACTTTCATTCTTTTGGCTAGTGTCCTTCAGGCTCCGTGCTGAGCCCAGTGTGTCCTTAAGGATAGAGGGCTGCATTTGCTCCAGCTCTGCTTTCATGGAGCGCCACTGCTAGTGAAGAAAAATCAGCCAGTCAGTAAAGTACACTATGGTTAAAAATTATTTTTGGAAGCAGAAAGTATTGTGAAAACCATTAGATGGATGGATTTAAATTGTCTGGCTCGAAGCAGGAGCTATTTTAACTGGGTGGTCTCAGAAGGCTTCTTTGAGTGGGTGATGTCCAAGCAGAGATGGGAAGAAGTTCACCTCACAAAGAAGTTCATATCACAAAGATATGGAAACAGCAAGCATGAACACCCATGGTGGAGAGAGGCATAGGACTGGGGAGAAGTTGGGGGGATGGAGGGGTCAGAAACACTGCATCACAGGCCACTGATCCCTCTTTGTATGAAGGTTAAATGAATTAAAACCTGGTATACACTAATTGTTCTTTGTGTGCCAGGCACTGTTCTAGTCCCTATGTCAACCCTCCAAAATCAACACTATTAGCCTATTTTGTAATTAATTAATTAATTAATTAATGGCACTAGGGATTGAACCCAGGGCTTCACACATTCTAGGCAAGTACCCAACCACTGAGCTACACCTCAGTGGCAGTATTGGGGGTGTCCGGTACTTCATCTGCCCAAGTTCATTTTATAGATAAGGAACTGAGGGCTTGGTTCTATCCCCAGTACCATTAGAAAAAAAAAGAAAACTGAGGTATGGAGGTGAGAGGGACTCACACAATCCTAGTAACCACACTCATGGAGGACTGTCTGCAGCTAAGCATCTTTACTTGTATTAAAAATGTATCCATCAGAACCAGGCAGGTGGTGCACACCTGTAATTCCAGAGACTAGGAAGGTTAAGGCAGGAGGATCATGAGTTCCTGACTAGGCTCAGCAACTTTGCAAGACCATGTCTCAAAATTTTAAATATAAAATTTTTACTTGAGATGTAGCTCAGTGGTAAAGTACCCTGGGTTCAATCCCCTCTATATCTATATTATTATCTATCTATCTATTAATTTGGCTAATGTGACTGGGGAAATTAATTTTTAACTTAATTTAAAATAAATTTTGGTGCTGGCAATATGGCTCAAGTGGTAGTGTGCTCGCCTGGCATGTGCGGGGCACTGGGTTCAATCCTCAGCACCACGTAAAAATGAAATAAAGATATTGTGTCCACCTAAAACTAAAAAATAAATATTAAGGGCTGGGGTTGTGGCTCAGCGGTAGAGCATTTGCCTAGCATGTGTGAGGCCCTGGGTTTGATCCTCAGCACCATATAAAAATAAATAAATAAAAAAAGATATTGTGTCCAATCACAACTAAAAAGTAAATAAATATTTAAAAATAAATATTAAAAAATAAATTTTCATACTTGGCTAGTGGTTATTTACTGTATTGTACAGGATTATGTTACAAGTTGGTAAGAGTGGTATTCCCATTTTGCAAATAGGGAGGTTGAGGTACAGAGAAGTTAAGTCAGATAGCCAGTAAATGATGATGTTGAAACTGAGATTTGAGCCCAGTTTTCCTGCATACACTCACTCCATCACCATGCTTCCTGTGTGCCAGTGGTCCTCCCTAGGTCCCTTCCCAAGCCATACCTCCCTTGTCTCTTCAGACGGGCACACTGCGGTTCTGCGGGACCACAGAGTTTGCCAGCGGCCAGTGGGTGGGCGTGGAGCTGGATGAACCTGAGGGCAAGAATGATGGCAGTGTTGGGGGTGTCCGGTACTTCATCTGCCCTCCCAAGCAAGGTCAGTCTCATCTGGCGTCCAGGAGGGTGGGGATGGGGGTCCATTTAGTAGTCTGATGCCAGAGTCTGAGTAATGGTGTGGAAGTTGAGGGCATGGCCAGGGGCAGAGGCTTGGACAACACCAAGCCTAGTCTCTGTCCCTGCAGGTCTTTTTGCCTCTGTGTCCAAGATCTCCAAAGCAGTGGATGCACCCCCCTCATCTGTCACCTCCACGCCCCGGACTCCCCGGATGGACTTCTCCCGTGTTACTGGCAAAGGCCGAAGGGAACACAAAGGTCAGAGGGGGAACATTAGGGGTAGGAAGAGCCAGTCATGGGGACATTCTGTGGATAGCTCAGTTTGTGTGACTCAGTTTCTCCTCTGGCCCAAACTCTAGTTTCAGAGGATGGGCTCTGAATTCCTGGCTTTTCTAACTCAATTTTCCCTTTGGCTCAGGAGTGGCCATATCCAGTTCTTTTTTTGTTGTCGTTGTGTTTATTTTATTATTTATATGCAGTGCTGAGAATCAAACCCAGTGCCTCACACATGCTAGGCAAGTACTCTACTACTGAGCCACAACCCCAGCCCCCACCCAGTTCTTGAAAGGACTTGTAGGTTCACTGCCTTCTACTTAGTTTCCCCTCAAGCCCAAAGTCTTCCCCAAATTGGGGAAGACTCTTTCTGGGAGTTCTTGTTCCAGGGGTTTATGGCTTTTATGACTTGATTTACTTATTCTCAGACCCAAATCCCCCTTCATTTTACTTCACTATCGATTGATTGATTGATTGATTTTTGAGACAGGGGTCTTGCTACATTTATCAGATTGGTTTTGAATTTCTGCCTCAGCCTCTTGAATGCTAGGGTCTTGACATGGGGTCCCCAAAACTGGCATCTGAGGCCCCATCTTCCCCTTACCATCTCCTCACAGGCAAGAAGAACTACATGTAGACGCTATTGTGTCCAGACTTCGTTTTATTATTTATTTATATACTTAGTGGCACCGGGGATCAAACCTAGGGCCTCACATAAGCTACACAAGTACTCTACCACTGAGCTGCATTCCCAGCCTTTTTAAAATTTTGAGACAGGTTCTCAGTAAATTGCCCAGGCTGGCCTTGAATTTGGGAGCCTCCTATCTGAGTAGCTAAGATTACAGGCACGTGCTACCATACCTGGCTAATGTTTTTATTTCTTGTGGTCCTGGGGATCGTACCCAGGGCATTCTACCAGTGAGCCACAACCTAGCATTGTAAAAAGGACAGTTTCTAGGCTCACAACTTCTGCCTCAGTTTTCCCTTTGGCCTTTATATCCTCAGTTCTAAGATTTTGGGTTCTCTAGGTTCTGTGGCTCAGTTTCCACTCAAGTCTAAAGACCCCCCCTCTCTCCTAGTTCTCTGGCATCTGAGATTCAGTTTCCCTTCAAACCCAAATACCATCCCCTACCCTAATCCTGTGGAAGGCACTAGAGTTCCTGTGATTGGAGCCAGGACAGAATTTTTATCTTGAGATTTTCCAGTTGGCATGGGGGTCCCCAAAACTGGCATCTGAGGCCCCATCTTCCCCTTACCATCTCCTCACAGGCAAGAAGAAGTCCCCATCGTCCCCATCTCTGGGCAGCCTGCAGCAGCGTGAGGGGGCCAAGGCTGAAGTTGGAGACCAAGTCCTTGTGGCAGGCCAGAAGCAGGGGATTGTGCGCTTTTATGGGAAGACAGACTTTGCCCCAGGTGAGGATGGGGATTTGGGGCTGGGGGACAGGCAAGGCTCTGGGGCATCCTGACACCTTCCTGCTACAGGTTACTGGTATGGCATTGAGCTGGACCAGCCCACAGGCAAGCACGATGGCTCTGTCTTTGGTGTCCGGTACTTCACCTGCCCCCCAAGGCATGGAGTCTTTGCACCAGCATCCCGCATTCAGAGGTGAGCCCAAATTCTGACCCCTGACCCAGGGGGCCACCCACAGCCCTAATCCACCCTTGGTTGGTTTCTTCCTCTTGGACTAGCAGGACATTGTAGTTACCACCCACACCCTAGCCCTTTCCTCTGGGCTCACCTTCCAGGGAGATCCTGAATTCTTGTGGCTCTGATTTCTTCCATTCCCTGTGTCTCCCCAGGATTGGTGGATCTACGGATCCCCCTGGGGACAGTGTTGGAGCCAAAAAAGTACATCAAGTGACAAGTGAGTTGGGGGCTGAACATGGGGAGGCATGTGGGTCTGGGAATGGTAGAAGGGTCATGGGTTTTCAGGTGTATGCTTATGACAAGAGTCAGCCCAGGAAAATGTTGAGATGAGGTGCTATAGGGTATGAGGAAGTTAACAACAAGGCTCGGAGGGCTAGGGTTATAACCCAGATGTAAAGCACTTGCTTAGCATGTGCAAGGCCCTGGTTCAATCCCGAGCACTAAAAACAACAACAACTAAAACCCTCCAAAATCAAAAAACAAGGCTACAGCAGGCATCAGGGATATAGGTTGAGTGGGTTTTGGGAACATGGGTAGGTATTGGGGGACTTGGAAGGTATTATTGACAAGAGGTTCAGATGGGGATTGGGAACATAGAATCCAGGTAGGTCCTGGGGACATGGATAGATATTAATGACAAGGATTCTAGGTGAGTATTGAGAACACAGGTGAGTTTATCATCCTCTCATCCTGCTCTCCTCTCCAGTGACACAGCCCAAACGCACCTTCACGACAGTCCGGACTCCAAAGGACATTGCGTCAGAGAACTCTATCTCCAGGTGTGTGGCCAAGACTGTCCCCTTTCCTGTGGGCTGTTAGGGAGAGGCATTCACAAGGCTGCTGGAATCTAGGGTCTGGGGCTCTAGTTGGGGATTGAAATAGAAGCTAGAAGTTGTGACTAGTAAGCACACTCAGAAACAGTCTTTAGGGTGTAGGGCCCAATACTGACTTTTGCTGACACCTCTTAGGGGGCAGGTTAAGGAAGCAGAACACCCTCCACTGCACATAAGCCTAAGAAGGCAAAGCCAGAAGCAGAATCCCAAAGACTAGGGGGTGATTGAACCAGATGTCCCTGCATCCTGAATCATGGTTGACCAGGTTCTTCTCCTTTTAGGTTGCTCTTCTGCTGCTGGTTTCCATGGATGCTGAGGGCAGAGATGCAGTCTTAGAGGCCCTGGATACCTGACAGAGACAAAGAAGTCCCTTCTAGCATCTCCTGACACAAGGAGCCCCCAGTCACCCTGAGATAGAGATTCCCAGTAACACATCCAGAATAGAGACTCCCCATTAGCCAACCCTCAATCACTGAAGTCCCATTATTAACAGATCCCCATGATAACCTGCCCCCCAAATACAGACCCCATATCACCCAGAAAAAGATTCCCTAAGTAGCACCTTCAGGCTAGTCCCTATCCCAGCCCCTCAGAGCAGAACCCTAATTAACAGATTTCTGCATCACCCCAAATGATGGTTGATCCTTTCCATATAATATTCCATAACAGGACATTCTGAGTCACTCATCAGTGGATCAGAAACTCCCCCATTAACAAAGACTCTCTCTGATTCTCCTTGTAATAAACATAGGTCACAACTCCAGAGTAATAGACCATGTCACTATCCCCATTTAACATCATTGCCCTCAAGATTCCGTGATCCCATGGTCACCCCGAAGCCCTTCCATTCCATTCCCCCTTTCAAAGACTCTCCATGAACAAAGACCCTTGTTCTCACCCCTCAAGAAAAGACCCACTTTAACTAGCCCACTGTCACCCCCCCCAATTTATAGACACCAAAACAGTCCTGGAAGTGCTAATTACAGGACCCCCAAGTCTTCCTACCCTCTGCACCCTCAAGAAACCCCCAGTGCCTTGTATGAAGCCCACCCCACATGGCCTCCAGCCTCTGTGCTGGCCAGGCTCCCAGAAAATTCTCTATTTTTGAAGTAATGACTTCCCCCTTTGGGGGACCCCAAAATTTGGAGACCCCATTCTGAGACTCTGGGGATCCCACACCCCAGAGTATACATGTCCCAAGACCCCCTGTGCCCCCAAGTCCTATAACCCCTAGAAGATCCCAAATTTCTAACTCCCAGGACCCCCAAATCATGGAATCCCCAAATCCCCAGGGAATCCCAAATTTAAAAGTCCAATCGCAAACCCCCAGGAAAACCCAATTATGAGGTCCTTGTACCTGGGATGGAGGAGACTGCAATCGGGAAATGTATTCCAGGCTCTCAGGGTATTTCAAGCCCTGTCCATAGGCACCAGGAGACCCCCAAACATGAATTCCCATCCTGGAAACTGCAGGACTTCAATGCCCTGAGTTCAAGGATCTCAAGAAACCCAAATTCAAGAGCCCCAGCCCTAAGGGACCCCCAAATCCTAAAGCCTCCGTCTATAATACGTGGAGGGCCCCGAGGCCCTGAAGCGATCCCAAGTCTTGGAGCCCCCATTTCAATCTATCTTCTGGTCACAGGTCCAAGACACCAAATCTGATTTACTGGCCACAAAGGACCTCAAAGCACTTGGGCCAGGCCAACAGCCTAAGGGAGAACCTGAAGGCCCCGCGGGTCCAGGGCAGACCTGGGGCCCTGACCACCAAGGACAGCTCACGACTGCCCCGTCTCACTGCATGTCCCCAAACTCAGCATGACCCCTGTCCTCTTCAATAAAGACGTTTCTACGGCCTCTGTGTGTCAGGTCATTGTGGGTTACGGCCTCTGAACACTTGCTGGGGGAGCGAGGGAGAAGAAGACTTCCCTTCAATCTCGCCTCCCCGCGGCCTGGTTGTAGGACGACCTAGTCTGCAAAAAGTCCACCCAACAGCCCTTATCTCCTTCCCGCGGTCACTACAGCGGGTTCTCCCATCTGGGCCCACGCCGCAGGGCGGACACTTTCGGTTTTGGAATCCAGATTGGCCGGTGTCAGACGAAGACCAGTCTCCTGTGGCTCCCCGAAGGCTCAGAGGCCTGGAGGCGCGGCCTATCCCTGAGCGAGGGTGAGGGGGCGGGCGAATACCAAGCGAGAGCGCCAATTGGTTGGAAGGCGGACCCTTTAGGCTTCTGAGAGTTCCCATTGGTCTGAGGTATTTTGCTTCCGCAACGTGGGGCGGAAGTAGTTGGGTGGGGGAGGAGGGTCTTGATTCTGAAAATTGGAGGGGACACGAGTGGACGGTCAGTGTTGGGGGCTGGGGACAGAGATGGGTGTCCAGGGGGGCCGAGAGTGGGGGTCCGGGGGAGTTCATACTGGGAGTCCTTTAAAGAGTGGGGACAAGGGTTCAGGGAGGGAAGAATGTTTGAGAGGAGTCAGGCTTAGGTCCTAGGGAGCCGCAGTGAACGGGCGCTTTGAAAGGAAAATCTGAGGGGATCCAGAGTGGAAGGGGTTTGAGGAGGCTTAGATTTGTGTCACAAGGACACTCAGAATGGGGGCTCCGAAAGGGCTGAGGTCGAAGAAGCGTCCTCCGCCTCAGAGAGCCGTCACTCATCGTTGCAGGTCTGAAGTGGGGTCTCAAATTAAGGTATTTAAAGAGGCTCTGGGGTGCCGATGGGGTAGGGGGACTCTGTGTGGAACTTAAAGGTTCCCTGTGTGGGGTCAGAGAATGCTCTCTGCGAGAGACTGGAGAGGGCACATGTGTAGTTTGATGGGTCCTTGGAAGAGTGTGCTGGGTGCTGGGGAAGGAGCCTAGGGGGTCACTGTGTGGCATTTGAGATGTCGGGGACTCGGTTTTTAGAGACAGTGAGTTTCACAGGAGGATGAAAATGAGGACTGGATGGTGATGGGGCAGAAGGCTGAATCACAGACTGAGGATAGGAGGCTTAGTAACTGAAGCTTGTCCTCAACTCCCCACAGGACTGGGTGCAAGGAGTTGGTGTCGATGGAGGAGCAGGACGTCAGGGTTCCAGCTCTGGAACCATTCAGGGTGGAACAGGTTGTCAGGACTGGGGATACAGAGGGTAAAGGTGGGGCTAGAAAGTGGGAGGTGGGGTGGGATGGACAGGCTGACTCCTGGGTCCCTGGGTTGGGAGTCCCCCCTCCTTCCAATTTTTTTTACCCTCAAGAGTCCAGTCCCACTCCCAACCCCAACTCATAATGGGCATGAATCCCTCAACTTCAGACCCTGACCTGTCTGAGGACATCCTTAGCTTCCCTCCAGAGAGGGAGGTTACTTAGTGATGGTAGGGCCCTGTGTGGGTTAGAGGGCCACATCTTCAGGGGAATCTTTCCATTGTAGGCACCACCTGTAATCTACTATGTACCTGACTTCATCTCCAAGGAAGAGGAAGAGTATTTGCTTCGACAGGTGACCCCTAATGTCCTTGTAAAACCACCCCCACCACGGTCTTCCCGTATTCCTCTCCAACCCTCAGCTTTGGTATGAGAGCCCCCAAGGCTGCTGTGAAAACACTGGCAGAAAGGAGACCTTCTCCTACCCTCCCTGTGCTTCTCTTGGAAATTGTTAGAGCTGTCAGAGTTGTTTTGTTTTTTCCTAGGAGGCTTAGGGGCAACCAAACTAATGGTTAGGAAGGAGCTAGTTATAAACATAGAAGAATTTAGTGTTCAAATTTCTATGCTAAGATAATCCAGGAATCAGGATATAACAGAGTAAGTTCTGCCTTGTGCCAAGGTAGCTCAGCATAGTCTCAAATGCTAGGAACAAGGTTACCAAGTATACACCACCTATGCTGAGATGGCCTAGTTCATATTCTATTCTTCAGGTTTGGGAAAAGTAGAATTTCCAGAACCTAGAGTTCCCACATTGGGATAGCCCTTATTAGCCAGAGTCTTACAGAGCACCAATCTTCCCAGTGTTATGATAGCCCTCTTGAGCTTGAGTCCCAGGAACAAGTTCACCACAGAACATAAACCCTTGTGCTGAAATAGCCCAAAAGTTTTTGGTTCTTGGGATTGAAAACTTGACATATTTTCAAATCCTTGCACTGAAGTAGCTCAGGTTAGCTTCATAACCATACCAACAATGAGATTATCAACTAGAGTATAGATTTCTTTGACTGAGATAGCCCATTCTAGACCCTGGGGATCTTGGCAATGGAGAATTTTCAAAGTACTTTCCCTGCTGTACTAAGGACTAAGCCCAGCACACTCCCTCTCCCATGCAATAGGAACAAGGGTGCTCCAGAACCCAGAGTATCCCCAGATAGCCTGGAACAGCCTAGGCCAACCTCAGCGTTCTTACTAGACTCAAACTATGATTGTGCAGCCCTGGTTTCTTTCCTTAATTCTGGTGGACACAGATGGACTTTGGGACCAAAGGCCTGCCCTGGCAAGAAGGCCAACAACAAAATCCTGGGAACTTACTACTCCAGAGAAAAATTCCACAGCCACTAAGATGACCCATTTCCACCCCAGGAAAGGGCCACTATGTTGAACTGGGTGAGAGACTTACAGAGGGGTGACTCCAAAAACAGGAGTGACCTTTCCCCACCTCCTAGGTTTTCAATGCCCCAAAGCCAAAGTGGACCCAGCTTTCTGGGAGGAAGCTACAGAACTGGGGTAAGTTTCCCTAGCTAGGGATGTAGGTGATTCTGGGATATGGGGTGGGCAGAGGGTTTAGGTCCAGTAGTCTCAAGATAAGGGGAGCCTTGAGGGCTCAAGGGGTTCTAAGGGCCAGAAGGATTCTGAGGGGGTCAGTGGAGATCCTGAGGGCTTAGGGGCTTCTTGGTGACTTGGGAGTAACTCATGGGGTTTGGGGAACCAGAAAAGTCAGAAAATCTCTGAAGGGCCAGTGGTCTTCAGGGGTCCCTCAGGGGACACCAAGTACCAGGAATCCTTGGTTTGGTGCCCTCAGGACCCCATTGCTCTCCCCAGGTGGGCTCCCCCATCCTAAGGGGATGGTCCCTGAGCGACTGCCCCCGTGGCTCCAGCGCTACGTGGATAAAGTGTCTGATCTCAGCCTTTTTGGGGGTCTCCCTGCTAACCATGTCCTCGTGAACCAGTATCTGCCTGGGGAGGGCATCATGGTAACCACATACCCTCACCCCAGCCCCCACAGTAGTAAACACCTCACCCCAGATCTCTGAGCCATCATAGGGCAGGGCATCATGCTCACCCGCCCTCACATCATGGAGTAGCTGCATATCCAACCTGGCATTCGCATGTCCATCCCAGCTCGGGAGTGCCCCTTTGACCCAGAGGGTGGGAGGGATGGACTTCTGCCCTGCCCAGCCCTGGTGCCCACTCCCCAGCCCCACGAGGATGGACCACTCTACTACCCAACCGTCAGCACCATCAGCCTGGGCTCCCACACCATGCTGGATTTCTATGAACCTCGGCAGCCGGAGGATGATGACCCTATAGAACAGGTGGGTCTGCAACGCTGCCCCAAGCGCTGGGAATGCCCCAACATCCCACCTCCTCCAGGCTGACCCAATTCCATTTGCCCCAGGCTATTCTTGACATCTTCTAGACACTTTGACCTGTTCTTTCATGGGTTACACTGACTTCCTCCCAGACACCCAACCCATCTGTTTGCTGGGTGCCCTGACTGCCATAACAGACACCCAGTGCCTTTACTGCCGAGTAGATGCCCTGACACCCTACGGTCCCCTGACCCCATACACTCAGTGGCCCAACAGACCTAGGCTCACCTATGCCCCATGTATGGCTCCCCAGTACTCAATAGACATTCTTTTTTTTTTTTGTGGTGCTGGGGATTGAACCCAGGACCTTGCGAGGCAAGCACTCTGCCAACTGAGCCCCTCGAGAGACATTCTAGACATCCTCAGATACCCTAGTGTCATTCACTCATGGATGTCCCAACATCTTCCCACTTGGCCCCCTCGTCCCACCATCTGAGCACTGCAACACTGATATCCTGCTACTGCAGTAATGTGATCTGCAGTGCAGATGTACCCAGATTCTCCTAATCCCATGTCACATGACTCTTCTCAGAGACCCCCACAGAAACCCTAACAGCACCCTCTCTGACCTCTTTCACTGAGGGATATACTTGACATCCCAGTGTTCACAGAGACTCCTGGACACCCTAGCTCTTTGCTCCTTGGGGTTTCCCCATTAGCCTTACATGCTCCTGAATATTCTGACATGCCTCCTAATGTCAGTGTCTTCCAACATCCTGATGTCCTCAGATATTTCAGCCCCTTTACACTGCCCACCCCAGGTCCTTGCCTCAACATGCCCTCTCAGCCCAGCTCTGCCCTGGTGTCCTGGGGCCTTCTGAACTCAAGCTCAGCCCCAGCCCCTTGGAGATTCCAGCTGCAACTCCCACAGTCAGCTGACCATTTGAGGTGCCCATCTGCAGCCTACTTCCTGTCAGAGGGATCTGGTGGGACTGCTGACTCCTAGTCCTTTCCCTTCCCATCAGCTGTAACTGTGGAGCCCACAGATTTTCACCAAAGCCTCCATTCCCAGGAGCACTCTTACTCTTCAGCTTTTGCCCCTGGGTACTCACCCTTGTCCCCTGACCCCTGAAACCTGACTGCCCATACCTGACCTCTGATTAGCCTCAAACTACCAACCCATTTCACAGCCTCGGCCGCCACCCCAGCCCACTACCTCACTGTTGCTAGAACCGTGCAGCCTGCTGGTGCTCCGTGGTACTGCATACACACGCCTCCTGCACGGCATCGCAGCCACCCGGGTAGACGTGCTGGACGCTGCCTCACTGCCACCCAATGCGGCTGCCTGCAGATCGGCACTGCCTGGAGCCCACCTAGTGCGCGGCACCCGAGTCTCGCTGACCATCCGCCGTGTACCCCGCGTACTACGCGCCGGTCTCCTGCTCAGCAAGTGACTGCCAGGCTCCAGGTCCCGCTTGATTACAGGGCTTCCTACTTGGCTGTTGGGATGCTGTGACCTTGGTACTCTGGGGCAGAGGTGGCACGCCTGAGTTATTTATTTTCCCAGTAACTGTGGGAACCATGGGAGAAGAACCCATTCCAAATAAACCAAAAATATATTTTCTTGCTTTTAGGTTTTTTTTGGGGGGAGGGGTGGGTAGGGGGCCACAGTACAGATTCTTGTTTTCTTGAGGGGCACTGCATCTGGGACTTTAAGTGGATGGCGTGGGCCCTGGAGGTCAGACTTATGGGTCACTTAGGGGGTCAGAATCCAGGGCTTTTGAGGCTTTCTATCTTGGACCCCCCTTGGACTGGGGTGAGGTGATGCTGGGAGGTTTGGCTGCAGGTCCTGCTAGGGAGGAAGGAGTTAAGTGGCTCTGCTTTCACCTCAGCAGGGCATCAAATTACCTGGGTCTTGTTTCTCTAGGAATGGGTGGTGCCAGACCTGCCCCTGGGCCTCTGGCAGCTTCAGGCCTGAGTGAGTCCTGCTGAGGAAGTCTAGGAGACACCATTATTAGGCAAAAGGCTCTTAACAGGTGCCTTCACCTGATTCTTTGTACCCAGGCCCCCAGATATGGCCCTGTCCCTACCTAGGCTCCCCTCAGAGCCTCTCAATCATCCCCCAGGAGCCCCTAGGGAGCCGGACATTGCTGGATGCACCGTCTGTCCTGCATCTGGAGAGGAGATAATCAGGTGGGGGCTGGGGCTTTTAAAACTTGGTTCCCTAACGGTGGGAGCAACGGCAGGGGCCATTTAGGGCCGGGAGGTGCTATGGCTATGATCATCTGGGGACATGGGAGAGGTAACTGGGATGGGGTTAGGGTGGATAGAAATGAGGTACTGCGGCCCATCAGGGACCTGCAAATACTCCTTACATCCCAGGAGAGAGCAGGCGCAGGACTTCTTGGACCCTCCTGGGCATGTCCAGGGTGGGTTGAGGGGCACTGAGCCCCCAAGAACATCAACGCCCTCTTTCCAGGAGGACCCAGATGGGAACAAACACCATGAGGTGAGCTGAGGTGAATAGACCCCTTTATGTCAGCCTTCTCTGTCCCCCAGAATCTGACCTCTGTTTTGGAGATGAGGAGATGATTCTGGAAAGGTGTTGGGCATCTGTGGTGGTGGTGTGAGGTGCTGTGGAAAACATTTCTTTACTAATTGTTATAAAAATATTTCAATATTTTACCAATTAGGTGTCTGGATACACCTCCATTTTTCTCAGGGATCAGCTCCCTCCCTGTCCAGACTCCCATGCCCCATATATCCAAGTTTCAAGGAAGCTTAAAAATCTGTAGACCTTGAATTATATGTCCCCATCCTCCAAGTGGAAGGCCCCTCGGGTGGGGACAACCCTGATGTAGCCTCAGGAATGGACTCTGGTGCAGAGAAGCATCCAGAAAGCAGCAGCTTGCAGAAGGGTGGAGGTATTATCTTGATTGGCCCACTGACCCTGGTTCAGCCCCCTGTGTTCCCCAGCACCCTGGCTCTGGCCTGGAGGCACTGGAGGCTGAGCAGGACAGTCTGCACCTCTGCCTGTTGGGGCTGGGTCTCCAGCTGCAGGACCTGGAGCAAGGCCTTGGGCCCTGGACACTGGCCCAGCGCAGGATGGTCCAACTACAGGTGGGCGTTGGGAGGACAGGATGCAGGAGGGTGGGCAGGGCCCCAGGAGTGGGTTCCAGCTTTCTGCAGTGAGAAGTGGGTTTAGTACGTGTTCCAGGTTTCTGGGTAGGAAACGGGAAAGGGGGTGATTCAGGTTCTAGTCTCTGGCCTCCCTGGCATATGTGTGGGGTGATGTCTAACCATGTGTCCAGGCCCTCCAGGCAGATCTGCGAGGGGCAGCTGAGCGTGTGGATGCACTGCTAACATTTGGTGAGGGACTGGCACAGCGCAGTGAGCCCAGGTCTTGGGCATCTCTGGAACAGATCCTGAGGGCCCTTGGAGCACACCGAGACACCATCTTCCGACGGCTCTGGCAGCTGCAGGCCCAGCTGGCCAGCTACAGCCTGGTACAAACTGCCCTGGTTGTCCTCAGTGCAGGCCCCAGGCCCCAACCCCCGGCCCCCCAACTCCTATGAACTCTGTCCTTTGACTCAGGTGTTCGAGAAGGCCAATATGCCAGACCAGGACTTGGAGGTTGAGGGGAACTTGCATGGGCCAGGACCTGATGGGGCCTCAGGGCCCTGGGCACCCAGTAACCTCCCCACCCCTGCAGAGTTGGAGTGGGACCCAGCAGGGGATGTTGGGGAGCTTGGACCCTCGAAGCAAAAGACAACACAGACACCAGGGCCTCCTTGTGAGCTGTGTGGCCACAGGAGCCTCCAGGGCAGGGGACAAAGTCTTGAGGTGAGAGAAGTCCCTCTTGAGGGCTCCCCAACTCTGCCCAGGCACCCCCAGAGCCCCCTTTGTGTATTGTAGCATGGGCGTTTCCTTTTACTGAGGTCTTAATGGCTGTCTGTCCCTCTCCGTCTCTCAGTGTCTCCAGGAGTCCCTTGATCCTACCACCTGTCTCTTTGTCTCCAGGAGTCCCTCTCTCTGTCTCCCTCCTTCCCATCTCTACCTGCATCCTCAATGCTATTTCCTGTCCCTGTGCCCCTCACTTTCTGTGTCACAGCTCTCATCTCAGAGGCCTGGGGTTCACATTCAGTTCACTCCCTGATTTCATTCTAGTCTCTCCTCAAATGTCACCTTGTCAGAGGCCTTCCCTAGCCTCCGACAATAGCACTCCTTATCTTACTACTGTATTTCCTCACAGAACTTCCTGTAGTTTGACATTATATATATATTTATTTATTTTTTGGCATCTCTGCCTAGAATATAAGCTCCATGGAGGCCAGGACTTTCCCTCTTTCCATCCCCACTGTCCCTGAGTTCCTAGAGTAACATGTAATAGACACTCATCAAATATTTGTTGAGGAAATGAATAAATAATGCCCCTCCCCTCTTGGTTTCTCTGGCTCTTCCCCTCTCTATCTCTCCCTTGAGATTTCTTTGTTCCCCCAGAATCTTATCCCTGTGACACTCCCCTTTCTAGACCCTCCCCTAACCATGTTTTTCTTTGCTGCAATTTTCCACACCTCTCTTTCCTCACAGGATGTGCTCTCATTGGGGTTTAGCCACCAGAAACATTTAATAGGTCACCGAAGACGCTCCCTGCTCCAGAAGCCTCAGGTGAGCTGGTCCTCAGCCAGGTATAGCAATTGAGGACCTTTATGGCAAGTAACGAAAAACTAACCAAAATTGACCAACATAGAAAAAAAGGGGAATGCTCTTTGTTCCTTGTAACTGAAAAGTCCAGGCACTGCTGAATTCAGATCTTAAATTCTATCAGGGCTCAGTCCCCTCCCTCTCTTGAGTACTACTTCCCTGAGGTGGCTTTCTCCTCAGTGCTGCTCTGGCTGTTACACACTCACTGCCCACAGCTTTACGCACCCCAGGGAAAGACAATGCTCCTGACCTACTGGCAGCAGCCAAAGTCCCAGGGCTGCCCTGCTTGGGTCATGAGTTATACCCCACCCCATCTAATCAGAATGCTCTGATTGGTCACATCTGGATCACATGACCAATAGTGAAAGTGGAGGAGGTGGGAGTCAGCTACACTTGAGCCTGAAGGTCTATGAAGGGGGAGACATGATCCCCACACCTGGCCCCGCCAAACTAAGCCAATATTATCAGGAAAAAGAGGATTGGATTGCATAGAGACAGACAGACATCCACCACACTTGGAGACACTCTCGAGTCCATGTGGGGGCCTGGGGGGAAAGAGGAAAGGAAGATAAATAAGACTGGTCTTGCAAGTCTATAGTAGTAAGGGAAAGGCCACATTGAGGGTGACATCTATCCATTCTGCTGCTGGCTGCTGTCCACCTTAGGACAAGAAGAGGCAAACATCTCCTCGTCTTCAGGATGTGATGCTGGAGGTGGATCCTGGGTGAGATGCTTGGAAGACATTGGTCTTGGGATGTGAGAAACTGGGCTCGTGGTGGTAGCCCACCTGTGTATCTAACATTTCCGTTCCCCCCTCAGGGCCTCTGCTCCTGCATCCAGATGGCCCCTGACCTTCCTCCTTATCCTCTTCTTCTTTCTTCTGATGGGTGTCACATTGTTTCTGCCCATTTCAGGGGGCCCCTGCTGCTCTCATGCCCGACAGGCCAAGATGCCCCACCTGATGCTTAGCTATGTCAATGGTCTCCCCCCAATCTGAGTACCCAGCCCAGACATGGGTAATAAATGGTCATTGTCAAAGGATGTGTGAGGCTGTTGGTTGTTTGATTACCCAGAAACTGGGATACAGCCCTGATGTGTCTGGACAGCCCCCTCTGTAGACTACTTTGTCTTGAGCACAGAACATGGAACTGAATGAGCCCATCTTGGGCTGGGTTCCCCCAGACCCAGATACAAAGATTCATGCTAAAGTAGCTGACTGGGAGGTGATCCTCGGAAGAGTGGTAGGGGAATGAGGAAGTGAACCAGGAAAGGGAGAAAGCTTACATTGGTTCATGAGCTGGTTGCTGTTCTGGGTTCCTAAGGCACCACATGTTGGGTATTCTTCACTCTTTGGGGCATTTACATCTCAGCTTCCATCTTTCACTGAGATGGACTTTTTCTGGCAACATTGACTCTCCACCACTGCCAGCCTGTCCCTTCTGGGAAGGCCCCTCCCTCAGGCAAAGGAGCACAAATGCTTGCCACAGGAAGCTGGAGGCAGGCAGGAGAAGGGAGCAGGTGTTGTGGGTGAGCTGCCAGAGACAACTGCTGTCAGCCCTGACTATCCACACAGGAACTCTGTTCAAACACTCTACACAGGAGGGTAGGGTTGCTCCCCTGCTGGGCCATCACCTGCTTCCAGCGCTCTTCAGCACCAGACGGAATTGCCAGAGTGGTCCTGAAGTCCAGTCTCCTTCAAACTTAAAAGTATGGAGAAAAGAGGTGGGAACAGAATCAGACTTAAGAACAGGGGCAGGAGCTCTGTGGTGGTCTCCTGGATATTCTCTTAACACAGATCTCCTCTCCTGGAATTCTCACCACTGCCCATGATGTGGGCCTACTGAACAAGGCTCAAAAAGAAGTCACAGGCTAAGGCCACATATGGAGCAAGTGGCTGAAGCCCAATCCTCACTATGTTAA